GACCAGTCCTTGTGTCACACCCTTGCCTCTGAGGGACAAGTGGGCTCCCTCCTCCTGCACGTGACCAGCACAGAGACTGCAGGAGGCTGGGCTCCAAAATCCAGCAGAATCTCTGTTTGCTGAGCAGGCAGCACTGACAGCCAGAAGGTGGCGCTCGTTTGTAATCCCGGCACTCAGGGGCAAGCGGAGGGATCACAGGTTTGAGACCAGCCTCAGCATTAGAAGAGCTGGTTGTGGTGCGCACCTGGCATTCCAGCACTCAAGAAGGCTGAGGCAGGAAGATCGATGGTTAGAGCCCTGCCCGTGTAATTTAACAACTTAGCAACACCTTGTCTCAAAATAAAACAAAATAAAAAAAGGGTTGTAGCTACAGCTCAGTGAGTTCAGTCTCAGCACTGAACAAGAGAAGGGGAGTCAGGAAGGAAAGAAAAGAGAGAACAAAGAAAAACAAGAGGTCTGGGATGTCTTTGACCTATGTCCCACTAGAACAGTACTCTGCTAGAGGCCCCTGTGTCTGTAGCCCCAGGGTGCCCCTGCAGTGGCCAGGACCCTTAGCACTGATTGCTGATGGGTGGGTGAATGTGAGTGGTAATTTTAACATGGGTCACACTGACTCAGCCGAGGACAGAGCCAAGAGCCCCGCCTAGTCCTCCCCATGAGTCACACCAGCCAGGGCCAAGGAAGGAGCATTCAACAGCCAGGCATGGTGGTGACACCTGGGAAGCCAGTGCTTGGGAGGCTGAGGCAGGAGGATCACTGTGAATTCGAAGCCAGCCTGAACTGCATAGCAGGGTCCTGTGTCCTACAATAACAACGTAAGGCAAGGCAAAGCAAAGCACAACAAAACCTCAAAAGAAGGGGCCTTTTTCTGGGACCATCACGGGCAGGACGGCCAATGCGTTGAGCAGGAAGAGGGAGGTGCAGAGGAAAGAGGTCTGCCGTCTTGGCTGTCTGCCTCTGGCCCCCAGCAGGTTAAGTGTGGAACTCCCAAGCCACTTCCATGATTGAACCTAGACCAGGAGGGGTTTTGTTTGGCCTAAAGGATGAAAAGGATATCTAAATATCCTTAGTAGGCAGCAGGTTTAAATGGGCCATTTTTGTAAAAAGGGTCAGGCAGGGCAGCCTTACGTTCTTGACCTCCCCTGACCCCAACCCCAGTTCTAAACCGGCCTCCGGCAGGAGGTGGAAGAGACTCCTTACTGAGCCACCTGTCATCTGAGCTGTTCTACTCGGGCAGTGGTGGTGTGAGGAGGGCCTGGCAGGATCCTTGGAAAACTTGAGAGCGCATGCGCCTGCCCAGATGTACCCTTCTCAGCCTCTTCACATCCTTGAAAGCCAGGGGTGAGTGGACTCCCACATTCTGATCTATCACTCATCGAAGGGGATAGCTCTCAGCAGCCATTAGGCTGAGGCTGCACGGGAGGGGAACTCCAGCACAGCGACAGGTGGGGCTCCTCTGAGGTCATAGCACGCAGGTGAGGCTGCTGATGCACCTGCCACAGGTCCAAGGTCCAGACTGCAGCTCTCCAAGGCTGATTCCTACTCAGGCACTCATGGGAGGTTTGAGTCACAGGAGAGGTTAACACCAAGTGACTCCGGCTCTGCCGCTTACAAATAGGTGCCACTCCCTGGAGGTGGTGCACTTGCCTGAATGCTAGCACTCTGGAGACTGAGTGGAGCACAAGTTCAGGGCCAGCCTGGGCTACATAGTGAGTTCAAGGTCAAGCTAAACTAGGAAGTGCAGACAGAGTAGGACTTAGTCTCAAAAAAACAAAAAGAAATAAAAAAAATAATCAGGAGCTGTGCTGTATACTTGAAGAGTAACTAAGAAGAAGACAGATGCCTTGGTGGTAGAATTTTGTCTCTCCATCCTGTGCTCAGGCATGGTCTGCATCCATTTCTGATGTCCAGTTGGATGGGGGAGGGGTTGCTGGCCCTGGATGGCACCAAGATGCTGGTAAACACCCTACCCACAGTCCCCCAAAGTGTTCTGGCCCCAAAGTTTAATCACATGAGATGACACACCCCTAGCAGGAACAGGCATTTATACTCGCGATCACACATGTGCACAGAGTGCACAGTGGGATAAACATGTGACAGGAAATGCAGTTGACCCCGGAAAGCTCCTGCAGGAAGCAACTGCAGCCAGACAGGAGGATAAAAGGCAGGCAAACGATAAGGAAGATGCTCTGAGCAACAGGAGCGGCAAACGAAAAGGTTGTGGTGGTGCATGTCTGTAATCCCAGCACACAGGAGGCTGAAGCAGGAAGATCACAAGCTTGAACTCAACCTGGGCAATTTAGAGACTTATTGAGACTCTGTTTCAAATAAACAGAACAAAATGGAAAAGAGCTGGGGATGTGGTTCAGTGTGAAGACCCTGAGTTCAGTTTCCAGGACAAAAAAAAAAAAAAGAGAGAGAGAGAAAAAAAGGAAGAACTATAGGATGTGAAAAGTGGCACTAGAAGGGCCAATGGTGTCACCCAGCTTGGACAGCTGTGAATGAGGATGCCACTAAGCCAGGCTGGCTGCAACCAGGCCCAACGTGGATGAAGCTGGGAATCAATCGGGAATCAGCAGCCTAGGGCAAGGGGCCCAGGGCAAGGGTGATCCACAAGGCTAGGCTGAGCCCAGTGCTGCTCAGGAGTTGGCCAGGGACAAGGTGGACAGAAGAGGTGGCAGCTTTGCAGGGACAGTAGTGGCACATTCAGGCCTTGCCTTGGGCCTGGACCTCTGCATAGCCATTGTGAAAACCACACCCCTTTGTAGACATCACCCCAAACTGGCCTTGTCATCTGCGACCCAGAGCCTTGGTGGGCCCTGCCTGTTCCCCCAGCAGTGCTCCTGGCTGCTGTCCTGGGGCCTAGAGGATTGTATGCAACTTGTCTCCAGGGAAAGAAAGCCCCCAGGGAGATTTTCCGCCTGACAGGCACTTGAGCTGCCTGTCACTCCAGGAAGCCAACCAGCTGTCCCCCAGCCCTGATCAGAATGAAAAGCAGGAGCCATGGGGGTGGCGCCAGCCTCTGGGTTGTGGGGTCATTTGTTACACAGCAAGATTGGGCGTCAGGTCACTCTTCTCATGGAGCACCTACTCCATGCGAGGCACTGTCTGAAGCCATCGACAAGCCGCTGCAAGCCTCCCATACTTTCCCGCTCCTAGTCCTACTGGTTCTTGTCTGTCTGTCTCTAATCCAGAACACTGTAGGAGCCTTTCTTCCCGAGGGCTAACCCTGCAGTGGGGAGACATCCTCGCCTGCAGGAGCAGGTGGAGCACTGTCCCATGAGAAGGGAACCTGGCCTTTCCTCCATGGTCACAGTGATCACAGGCTACCAGTTCCTAATGGAAGCTCAGCCTGGCATAGCCAAAGCCTCTTAGCCGAGCTCTTCCTGCACTGGCCTTGCTCCCTTGTCCCCAGCCTGTCTTAAATCCTGTTCACTCTGCTCCCTGTGCCTTGTCACCCTCTAGTTCCAACATCATCAAAAATTCCCATTCGTCTGGGCATAATGGTGCATGTTTGCAATCCTATACTTGGTAGGCTGAGGCAGGAGGATCACCATGGGTTTGAGGCCAGACTGGGCTACACAGTCAGATCCTGTTGCAAACAAACCAAACCAAACCCAGAGAGAAAGGGACAGGGAGCAGATATAATCCCCAAGGTCTGAGGTCACACTCCCAGAACCTACCCTGACACACCCAGAAGTGTGCGTTACTGATCTTCTAGGCTTCCTGAAAGCTACCCAGGTTAATCAAGGTTAAGTATTAAAAGAGTACCTAGGACACTGTGTACACAGTTACCCTGCAGAAAGGTCGGCATTGTTCCCTTCCCATCTGCAGAGCACCCCGTAAAGGAGATGCTGTTTAACGACTGATGAAACCAGAAGATTTGAGGCAGAGTAAACAAGCACCTTCCCCCACATGCTTGCTTGCTTTTCTCTTTTTTGCAGTACTGGGGATTGAATCCAGGCTTCTGCTCTGAGCTACATCTCTAGTCACTATTTATTTTGAGACTGAGTCTCATTAAATCACAAAATTGCCTACCCTGAGCTCGAACTCAGAATCCTCCAGCCTCAGCCTCCCATATGCAGGGATTACAGGTAAATGCCACTGAACTCAGCCCTAGGAAAACCATTTAACTTCTCTGATCCTTGGTGTCCTCAATTGCAAACTGAGAAGACTATGACCACCTTCGTCCTTGGGCTGTCACTGGGCCCAGGAGAGCTGAGGTCATTCTTACCTCACTGGTATCTCTGCCCCCAGAATCTCTCCTTTGTTCAGCAGACTCCCTGAGTGTCAGCCTTCTCTAGAGCAGGACCTGGATTTCTGCTGGGTTGGTCTTAAAGTCCGGGAGCTAGAGGTCTTAGCTTTAGGAAGGTGGATCACTCCCAGAACTGGCTTAAAATGCAGTTTTGGGCTGGGGATATAGCTCAGTGGCCCAGTGCCTGCCTGGCAAGTGTGAGGTTGTGAGTTTGATTCCTGTTACAAAAAAAAAAAAAAAAAAAAAATTAAATGCTGTCTTTTTGTGTTTTTTGAGACACTATATATTCAAGACTGGCCTTGTCTCACTGTGTAGCCCACTGGATAGCTGCAGTCCTCCTGCCTCAGCCTCCTCACTGCTGAGATTACATGTGTATACCATCATGTGAAGTTTAAGCTGAACACTCTTACAGCTTTCCCTCCAAGAGTCTATTCTAGGTTTTGGGTTAGATCTGGGGTTGGTAATTCTTCCCGAGTCTGAAACCATCTCCTAACACAGAAATAGGCAGGTTTTTTTCTACATAAAAGGAAGAAAATAAATACTTTTGGCTTTGTGGGCAGATGCCTTAGTTACAACCAAATAACTCTGCTATTATGGCACAAAAACAGACATAGAACCTCAATGCATGGGTGTGCCTGTGTTCCAATAAAACTTTATTTACAAAAGCGGTGGGTCAGATTTAGCCTGAGTTTATGGCCTTAAATCTCTTCTATATATAACCAATGAAGACACAGAGAAGCCAGTGTAAAAAAAAAAAAGTGATTTCTTTAATTTTAAATTATGGACCTGGAAAGAATAAGTCAGTTTAAGTGATCCAGGCTTCTTCTTTATACCCAAATGAAACAGACACAATATTGGCTCAGATTTCCAGCCCTAGAGAAAAATCAAACTGAGTCACAAATCCTTCAGAAGTCCCTGAAGGTCCCTTGCTGGGGCCATTGGGCTCCACCACCCGACTCCCATGCTTGGCCCAGTCTCCCTCCACCTCCTGGGAGCTGGCACTTCGGGGTGCAGGCCTCCACAGAGAGGGAGGCAGCATGACGGCCACCTCCCAGCCGACTGTGGGGCATCTCCGGCAGTCGTAATGGTGGCGCTGAGCAATGTTAGATGGAACTTCCCAGGCACGCAGCACTGTCCCTTGCTTATAGATCTGAAGCCTCGAGTTGTCACCATGGGTCATGTGTGGCCAAGGCACCAGCAGCAAGATGGCGAACTTGGGAAACATCTGGGGAGATGTGGGTGTCTCAGCGATCGATGATGAGCCTGTGAATGACAGGTACAAGTACCATTTGGGTCAAACCCTTCGGGACATCTCAGGGAAGCCAGGTGGCAGAACAGCACCTGCTGTGGCAGAGGGGTCAGAGGCTCTCATTTCTTAGGTTATCTTCCTCTCTCCTACCTCACACATTTGAGGTTAAAAATGGCTTAGGAATCACATAGCCAATCAGAGGGGCACTGCCTGACGGGGCAAGGGAGAAGTGTTCAGGGTAGGGATGCAAGCAGGGCTGCCTTCTTTTCTTTCTTTTTTCTGTTCTTTTTAACTCAAGGTCTCACTGTGTATATAGTTCAAGGTGGCCTTGAATTTAATACCTGGCCTCAAACTCATGGCCATCCTCCTGTCTCAGCCTCCTGAGGGTTGGGATACTGGTGTGCTGAAGGCTTCTATTTTGTGCTGAGTTTGGAAATGGACTTAGCAGAGAGGATAGGAGGAAGGGCATGACCATAGAGCTGCCCTGCTTTGGGTCTTGCCAGTAGGGGCTCACCATAGACTAAAAGCAGCAGTCACCTCAAACCCACTGTGGTAGGTGGGGATGACAAGATTCCATTTGGATTTATTTTCTCTAAAACTGAAGCCTGACCTGAGCCCAGAGCTCTGGGGCTAGTGATGAAGCAGAAGACCAGAGAGTACCAACCCATCCCCACTACATGGGGGTGCTGAGCTGGGGGGCTGCAGGCGGTAGATGGGTGCACTGGTGGGGATTCTGCAGACCCCATGCTGTGTCTTGGGTGGGACTGGTGGGCACAGCGGTAGGGACAGTTCCCTCAGAACTGAGGCGCAGTGAGCAGGACAGAGGGTGGGCTTTTCTTCTTGGCCTCAAGTTGTGCTGCTCAGTGTAGGGGGAAGACATTATTGCCCTCCTGCTGGCACCAGTGCCACCATCATGATGGTACTCAAAAGCCTGGCACTGGACTGGGGCCTCAGGCGAGAGCCAATGTTTCCTGTATGGAATCTGTGCCCTGTCCCAGCGCTGGCCTAAGACCATCTGTGTCTCGTCACTAACTCAGCGACACCCCCCCCCCGCCCCCCACAGCTGACCAGCCCTCTGGATCTTAGCAAGGCAGCTCCAGAAGCGGGAGGAAGTGAGTTTGGATCCCAGGTGCCCAATGTGTTCCTCTTCCTAGTTTCCTTACGGTGTCTCAGAACTGTGGACCCCCAAATGAGAGCTGTCCATGGGGCCAGCCTACAGCCAATCCCAGAAGCCACTTACGAGACCAGAAAGGGTTCATCCAATCACAGCAGAAGGCAGGGACCCTGTCCTCATTGGATGACGCTGTCAGACTGCCCATTCTGGGCCACCTGTCCAGGGTCAGAGGCAGGGGTCGGAGCGGGAGTGTTGCTCTGCAGGTAGCGGCGGAAATCTTTGATCATGGGTCGGAGGACCTGGATAAGCACACTCAGGGCTGCCTGGGTGCCCTCCATGGCCTGGGCCTGGCGCTCCTGGGCACAGGCCTGCACCTCCTGTGAGCGGCGGATCATCTGCAGCAGGTCGTTCTGCTGCTCCAGGTGCTGGGCAATCTCCTTCACGTGCAGGTTGGTGACCCGCTGCTCCTGGATCAGTTTGGCTGAGTTGAGGGCGATGCGACTCTTGAGTGCCTGTGGTTTGACGGATGTGTCGCTGTGTTGGGCCATCATTTCCACGGGGGCTTCAGCTGGCAGAGGTGGCGGGGCCTCGGCCGTGCAGTACTCAACCACACCCTCCTCCAGCGTGTGGTAGGTGGTCTCTGTGGGGACTGCAGGGAAGAAAGAGCCAAGGCACAGGCGGTCGGTCACCTTCTGGGAAGAAGGAAGCTGCCATGTGGGCTGGGAAGGTGGTTATTAAGCTCTTGAGGGAGACAAAAGGGAATTCAACTCCCCTTGGCTTTATAATTCAATGATAAATCTAGATTCTGAGGGATTCTAGGAGCAGCCAGAGACAGTGCTGGATCTGGCAAAAACAAAGATGCTACTAATACTAATACTAATACTAATACTAATACTAATACTACTAATAAAATAATACTTGCAAGAATGTATCTTAGAAAAAAATACCAGCAAACGATTTTAAAGTATCTACTATGTGCCAGGCACTTTGTATCTATGAGTTCACTGAATCCTCATAATGATAAGAGGTAGACATTATCATCTTCGTTTGCAGAGACAAGGAACCCAGAAACCCAGAGTGACTTGCCTACGGTCACATGGCTCACTCAGCAGTGCCAGGTCCCCCAGCACTCAAGGCATGGTCATAACCATGGCGCTGGAAATCATCTAGCTGCTTAAGGCGCCTTGGAGGCAGGGTCATCATAGCCCAAAGCAGGCATTCTAGAGAACTACATAGCTGATTACAGCTGGACAAGTCAACCTCCATGGATGTTGTCTTGACTTCTAAGTCTCTCGAGGCCAAGCAGAAAAGGAGCTGGCAGCAGGGAACAGAGAAGTAGCAGCTAAGGTACCCAGTACATGGCTCCCTGTCTCTGATCACCTTGGTCCATGGGACACTTAAATGTCCTTCCTGTCCTAGCATCTGATTTAGATCAATGTTTGTCCCTTTTCCCAATTCAATATATGTAACTGAGAAATATGGGACGGTGGGGGTGGAAGGGGCTGGCACTCATCTACACCCGATTACCCCCAACCCCCACTGAGAAATACTGGCTGAAGTCAGGAGTGGTGGTGCAGGTCTGTTCTCCCAGCACTCAGGAGTTGAGGCAGGAGAATCATGAGTTTGAGGCCAGCCTGGGATACATTGTGAGTTCAAGGCCAGCCTGAACTCCATAGCAAGACCCTGTCCCAAAATCAAAACCAAAACCAAAAAACAAACACACCAAACAACAACTCCAAAACAAAAACAAAACAAAACTCCCTGGAAACCAAAAACCAAAAGAGAAATACTGGCTGACATAGTTCATAGCCCTTCCCAAGCAGTGTATATTGGCACAAACCATTACTTTAACCAGGAAACCCAATCCAGGTTAGTGGTACATTGGGATCTTAGAAGTGCTGTGTGGGTCTCTATGCACATGAGAGAGGTCAGTCTTCTCCACCCTTCAATGTCAACATCAAGTGTGTGTCCCCACCTCCCCAGGGAGTCTCTTCCTCTTATGAGTTCTTGGGTTTTCCCACTTGACACTGAAACTATAAATGTGTGCCTTTTCTGCTCCTCTAGAATATAATGGGCCTCTATTTTAAATGCCTTGGTAATTCTAGTGCCTAGCGAAGGATTTGGCATGGAATAAATGGTCACATCTAAGGAGTAAGTGAATTAGTAGGTTAGCAGTAAGAACCAGGAATCTGGTGAATGTTAACCATGTCTCACCTGGGCAGTATTATTTTCATGTATTAATTCAACAAGCATATCCTGGGTGCCTATCATGTGCTAGGTGCTGGGATAAGTCCTGTAGGCACACAGCCACAGCCTGTGTCTACACAGTGAATGGTGGGAGTCAGGGACATAAATGGTGGTGACACACCAATATGGGAGAAGGCCAGACCACATGCTGAGAAAGTCCCAAAGGGAACAAGCATATTTCTGCCTGGGGAGCCCGAAGTGGAAGGCCTTGTGATCCTCCAAAATCCCCATCTGACCTTCTGACCCTTGACGGCTACCTTTCCCAGGGTGCCCCGATGCTGGCTATGTACATGGATCTGGGCAGGGGAGGTCACTCACTCTGTGTCAGGGTGACCGTGGCTGCGGCTGCAGTGGCCGCGGGTCCAAGGGCCACAGGGTGGATCTCTGTGGTACTGGGCAGACTGATGATGGTGGCCTCACCCAGCAGGTTGCAGATGCGTTGTTGCATGGGGGTCAGCAGGACGGGGGCTACCGCTGGACCACCTCCGCCACTGCTACCACCTGTCCCAGCCCCAGAAGCTCCATCCTCCTCTGTGGAGCCTGGGGCCTCACCACCCTCCACAGCAGCACGGACTTGGGCAACCTTGCGACGAACCTCAGTCTTGAGGTCAGACCACTTCTTCTTGACTTCGGGCAGTTCCCTGCGGCACGTGGCCACGGCGTTGACCCTTCGCAGGATGCTGTGCCACGCCGCACTCTTGGCGGCTAGAGGGACCCCGGCGTTGAAGTGGTTCACCAGCAGGTGCTTCTTAAGCTCCAGCTCCTCCACGATGATCTCCACCTCCCGCTCTGAGAAGTTCATCTTCCTCTTTTTGGCTGGGACAGCCATCGCTTCTCTTCTCTCCTATTATTAAATAAATTATAATCCTCCCAACCACCCCAATTTCCCTTCTCTTCTTCCCTAGCCTCGACCCTCACCCACCCCCCTACAGGGGATAGGCCGGGCTTGCTCAAAGCCAAGCACCAGGCCTTAGGTAACCCCCCTTGCTACGCAAAGTGCGTAGGGCCCAGCCTCGACTGGCCCGGTCGCTGCCAGCCAGCTGCGTAATGGCTTCCTGAATCTGCCTCTTCCGCCAGGGCGTGCGGAGATCCGCCTACCTGCCTTATTCCCGCCCCTCAAAGCTTTCCAAGGGAATCGCCCTTCTGGTTGGCCGTAGTTCAAGTTATCCTGTCGATTATTCGCTTTACTTGCCTGTCGTTCAGCTAAAAGACACGCCTACTGACTGGACGTAGACTGATCATTGGTCTAAATGTGTGCCTATCACTCCAGACGCTTCGCCCACCTCACCTTTATTTGCTTCCATTGGAAAGTTCTACTGTCGTTCAATTTATCAGTGTTACGACTATTAGGCCGTTAAACTCAGCTATTTTATGGGGGTTTTCAAGAGTTAGATTATTAAAATCCGGCCTCCCGAGGGTACCTAATTCTTTCGGTGTTGACCTGTTGTCCAATTAATTTTTAATTCCACTCAAGGGTGCAGATTTTGCTTTGTAACTTCAGTTCGCAATTGCTGTCTCATAAATCCTATTTCTTACAGCAGGGTACGATCTCTCCGTTTTCCGCCGCTTCTCTTGTGCTTACAATTCCGCAGTCTAAATTGCCTTTCTCAATGGAAGCTGGACCCTGGCGCGCCTGCCAGCCAGTCTCATGACTTTTGCCTATCGCTGCGCGAGTCATTCTCCGGCCCAGCTCAGCCAATCCTTTCCTTTCTCTGTTTGAATCGGCCCCAGGCCGAGCAAGATGGCCCCACCCCCTTCATTGACCGGGGAGCCTTCCGGCAGGCTCCGCCCACACCCCCCTCCCTTTCCCAGCTGCGGTCTTGGCGTATGGTTGGTCAGAGACTCTCCTGGGAGTGTGGCTAGCAAGATGGAGCGCGGCGGGGCGGAGCTCCCGGAAGCAGCCCCTCCCGCCAGCTTGCCGGCGTCTCGCAGCCCGCGCTAGCATTCCGACGACTGCGGCGCGCTTCCACGCTGTCCCGGTCGCCTCGCCGCCCTCGCCCCGCGCCCGACGCCTCTGCCTCGCGCCCGATGGTGAGCAGTGTGTTGTGCCGCTGCGTGGCCTCCCCGCCGCCGGACGCCGCCGCCGCCGCCTCGTCGTCCGTCGCTTCGCCGGCGTCCTTGGGGGACCCGTGCGGCGGCGCGGTCTGCGGGGGACCAGATCACCAGCTGCGCCTGTGGACCCTCTTCCAGGCCCTCGACATCAACCGCGACGGTGGCCTGTGTGTCAACGACCTGGCCGTGGGGCTGCGGCGGCTGGGACTGCATCGCACCGAGGGCGAGCTTCGGGTAAGCAGCGTGCGCCGTCCGCGCGGGTCCGGAGGGAGTTCCTGAGGTCCAGGTGACAGGTCCGGGTGTTCTGGCTTTTCGGGAGCCACTGGGGGCTTGGCAAGCCTGGCGGCACGGACCCGTCTTGCTGGGCAGGACCCCTGGTGTTAAAGGGAAGTGCCCCTACTGACGAATGGGCACTCCACTCCTGGCCTGGTGGGAGTGAGGCTCCTCGGGGAAAGAGTCTCTTCTTGGGTACACTTTGGGACGGATGGACGGAAGGATGGGCAGAAGCTCCCTTCCTGCTCGGCTTTCCTTCCCTAAGGTGAAAGGCCAGGCCTCACCTCAAGGGTAAGCCCGATCTCCTTCCTTGACAGGTCCCTCTGCCCATTCCCGGCAGCGCCCCTCACTCTTCCCTTCCCGTTTCCATGTCACCCGTGGGATCTGATCTGCTTTGAGAAGCACGTGGGAGTGAGGGAAATGGGAACTGGGTTCAGGCAGATCTGGCTTGATGTGGGTGGTGAGTACTGACAGTTTGTGGGTTAGGCTAATCCCCACTGCTTATCCAAACAACAAGGACTCCCTGGGTGAAGCAAGCTGGGAGAAAATACTTTCTGAAAAGGAAAATGTGGTGTGCCTAAGAGGGGAGATGGCTGCTCTTGTGCTGTGCTGGGCCCTTGGCCAACGTCGGAGGCGGCAGAGAAATGGCCATCGTTGGGCCTGCCTGAAAGATAAGTGCTGCCCTTCCTGGGAAGGCGCAGAGCATGGCGTTTTCTTCTTCTGTCGTAGTATGGTTTTGGGTTTGACTTTGTAGCTGTAGCTATTCTTTCCCGAGTGTCATTCATTGTGGTCCAGTCTGTTGTACAACTTGAATTCCATACTGCTTAATCCTTTACCTAGTAAACCTGTTTCTTATCAAAGCTTGGTTGATTCATACATATAACAATTAGCGTATCTCATAGCCAAACATGAAAGAAATCTGGTAGTGGATTGAGCCAGTTGGTTGATTAGGTGGGTATACAAAAGATGTGTTCAAGATAATCGGGGATCAACAGCTACGATTGTAATTAACCGATTGTAATTAGGATCAGCCTAGGAAGAGCAAGGGTGACACTGTGTGCAATGAATCATTGTATTAAGTCCAAGAAATTTAGAGAGAGTTTTTTCCCCCAAGTCTCTAAAGAGAGGCAACTTAAATTTTTTTTTTTTTTGGTACTGGGAATTGAGCTCAGGACCTTGCACTTGCCAGGCAGGTGCTGTGCCGCTGCACTATAACCCCATATTTTAAAATTTACTTTTACCCCAAATAGTATTGTGGGTCCGAAATTTCCTCGTATGTATTTCGTGAATAAATTACTTGAGAAGACAGGATGCCTAAACCCCAGGAATCCAAGCCCTCAGGCTCTAGCAGATGTGCCCAGGTGAGCCTCTGATCTTGGCCTGTGCTGCTGGGCACATGAAGGACACCTGACCTGTGCAGTGTATTCTGTGTACCACGAGCTTTGTCTGCTTCAGCAGGAATTACAGTATTCTGGTAATTCATGGCACATGTGATAGTGATCCTAATTCATTTTCTGGCAGTGAATTTGACTAAGGGCAAATGAGGAGAAAATGGTGATTATTCATCCGAGTGCCTGAAGAAACCCTTTTTGATTAACCCAGGAGTGCTTGGCCTCTGGGAGTCCCTTTGGCTCCAAAATCTTTGAGCCTGACTGATCTGAAGTCTGAGATAGGAAACTATTTCTTTTATTCTTTTGAAGACTGTGGGTTTAATATGGACTTTCTACAACTCTTCTGGCTTTTGAACAAGTTGAATTGTTACTCAGCTTTGACAGAGATATATTTTATTAGTTTATTACCTACAAGGGAGCACAAGTTAGTCCCCTGGGGAAGGTTTTAAGAGTTAGAAAAATCATCCTTTTTGTAAATAACTGGGCAACAGGAAGACGTTCTGCATCCTGTACCCTATACCACTTCCTGTTGAATTGTTGATATTAGCTGCTTATAGAAAAGGCAGGTCTGTACTTTTACAGAACTGGCAGGACCTAAAAGAGAACTTGGGGGCCCTTTAGTTAGAAAGGGGTCACCTCTTGTGGGAACAGACATTGTGAAGGATCATTATACATTGAAAGCCCCTTCCTGTGACCCTCGAAAGGCTAGTTTGAGTTCCCACAACTTCACCACCCCCCACTCATCTCCGAGTGGGCTTGAACCACCAACCTTTCAGTTAACAGCCAAACGTGCCAACCTATTACACCACAGAGACATGAGAAAGAGAGAAGGTCTGAGATGTGGGGTGTGCACTGGAACCAGCTGGGGCACTTACCTGTGGGAAATGGGTGAAAAGCCACGTGACTCCACGAGAGCCGCTCACAGCCTGGGATCAAGTGTTCTTTCAAAATACACCAGCGAGTTTTGCCAGCTGCCTTTGTTTCAGAGGCAGTTGGGACAGAGAAAAATGACTTAAAATGGAAATGGGCAGAGAAACCCAGGGCAGCCAGCCAAGGAGATTTTCTTTGTAAATTGAATGTGAGCAGGAAGTGCCTTGTGGGACAAAAGAAGGGAAGGGTTTATTAGAGAAAGGAAAAAGATGACGACGGTAGTGACTTCGGATGCTAATTATAGCTTAACTATTTCAGGCATTTTCATGTGACCATACAAAGTCTTTGTCTTGAAACAAATTTAAAATGTGGGTTAGAACTCAGGCAGCCAACTAGGGAAGAAAGCAAGCTGCATTGCTTGGAAATAGTTGTCTGTCTGACTGAGGCTTGTGGACTCCCACCGGGGCTTGTGTTTAATGTAGCTAAACATTCTAGAAGACGCTGTCAGGAGTTGCTGATTTAGAGATTTGCATGTACACTGTCTAGTGTGAGGCCCACAATAAGACCGTGAAGTGATTTTATGCCATTTTACAAGGGAAGAAACAGCCATTCAAAAAGATGGTGTTGCCTGGTGCATGTGTGTGCCATGTAGCCTTAGCCTCTCAGGAGGCTGAGGCAGGAGGATTACTTGAGCCCACATATGCCAGACCAGCCTGGGCAACAGAGCAAGATCCCACCTAAAGAAACAAGTAATAAAAGTCAATGAAACAACCTCAGAAGTTTGGCTACTCGGGAGTTAGATTAGAGAAGGTATTTTTTTCCTTTTTTGGTGTCAGGAATCGAACTCCGGACCTTGCACTTGCCAGGCAGGCATATAGAAGGTATTGGGACCAACTGATTTTTGCTTTTTTAAAACTTATTTACTGGTGGTTGCTTCATTTATTTATTTATTTTTGAGATAGGGTTTTGCTTGTAGTTCAGGCTGGCCTTGAACTCTCTACATAGCCCAGGCTGCCCTCATGGCTATCCTCTTGCCTTAGTCTCCAAAGTGCTGAGATTACAGGTGTGGACCACCGCACCCCACTACACTTGTTTCTGAGGGCCAGGAAGAAAGCGCCAGGCCTGGAATTGGGTGGAGCCAGTGATAGAACCCAGGCCCTCACCTATGGTAGGCCAGCTCTGCAACTGAGCTGGACCCCCAGCTGAGAGTTCTCCAGAGCCACAGGATTCCTTCCCAGAGTCCCTGATTCAAGATTAGCCAGCACTTCCCTATCACAGAATGCGAATTCACTTCGCCCTGTTTCTCTCCTTGACCTGAGCAACATATGCAATGTGGCAGTCCCTGTTGGCCTGGAATATCCAGTGGAGTTGCTTAATCAGATGGCACCGCTGAATTCTATACCTTCCCTGGTGTGCAGGTTCAGGGGAGGTTGTTTACTGAAGCCAGGCAAAATGAGATAAGGCAGTGTATAGAGAAAGGACC